ATCCTAATAAACCTGGTGGCAGCTGTTAATTAACATATTAACAAACAGCAGTTTATCATGAAGCTGTGATTGGCCGATGCTGGAGAGAACTTCTAAATGCTTTGATGGGTTCATTTCAATGCAGTATGTAGAGCAGAGTGCCAGAGCATCAAGCAGCTCTTTAGCGCCCCATTGCGGCTCCCTGGAGCCTTTTCAGAAATTTATGAAATTTTCATATAATAAATACATTTAAACAATAAATGTAAATATTTCTTTCAACGAAAATTTGCGCCAGTCATAGAGATCAGTGGTCATAGGGTGCAACACCCGTTTTAGAGCGGTGCGGTGCCAGGCAAATATGGCGGTGGGTCTGTCTTGGACCATGGATCCCAAAGGGAAAAAAAGGAAGATACCTGATGAGAACAGAGGATTCAAAGACGAATGGACCAAAACATTTGCTTTCATTATCAATGCGGAAGGATTGCCTGCATTTTTGCTTTGTAATGAGAGTTTGTCAAAAAATAAAAAGAGGAATTTGGAAAGGCATTTCCAGAGAAGGCTAAATATGCAACCGATCACAAAAGTTGGGAGTGAGAGAAAATGTGCGCTTGCAGAATATCTCGATAAATTGGAGGAGGGCAAAGATAGATTTAAGAAGTGGATTGATCTCCAGACTCCACTAATGCTGCTAGTTTTGTTCCAAGCATGATAAACCGTCCACAGATCCAACAGGTAGCGCTCTGATGCAGGGATGTCAACTTTCCTCCATTTTCTCAAAATAAAAATAACACCAAGGAACGCTGGTGACAGAGGATGTGAATTCCACGGGGTGAGAGCGTTCACTGCCCCTACCTCACCTCATGCTACTATGTGACATTTGCTCCAGGATAAACATTTAATCATGAATGCTTATTATATATTTAAGCCCACATAGTCCTTTTTCATAGTATGCTAATACACTTAGAGCCTGTGTTGCCATATGAGGATTATATAAGACTTTTACATTTTTTTGGCTGCAGACAGATTTGTATTTTTGGTCCAATATGGCTCTCTGGACAGTTTGATGTAGAGAAATGAGGTCCACCTCCAAACAATAAGGTTCTTCAGTCCATGCTTTCTGGTCTCAGCACCAATCCATCCAGGACCCTGAGCTGATGGTCATCAAGACACAACGCAGGGAGACAGATGGTGTCAACTGGTTGTAATCCCAGAGTCTAGATAAAGGTTCTACAGATGATAATAAGGCTGCTGGCTTCTCCTGCAGAGCGTCTCAGATACCCATCGATCTGCTGATGTGTCCCAGTCCAACTGTAGCCTCCAGCGGTACTGCAGTGTCTGTGGTTCTGAATCGGTTCTGTCTTTTAGCAAACTACTTCCAAACTGGACCGTTCCTTCAGGCCCATTACCTAAGGTTTTATACACAACTCCTGAAATATGATGGTGTTGTTGTTTTTTCTCTCTCTGGTTTATAATCTCAGATAGAGAATCTGTCAGATAGAAGAGGTTGACTCTGTTTGTGCTTCATACTGACCTTCAGAGCTTCGGTCTGCAGGCCCAGTCCTTTGGTGCAGAGCTCCATGACGCTGTAGGAGCAGAAGGTGTCCCTCACCCTCAGCTGGCTGACGGCCAGCAGCCACAGAGCCGGGTTGGTCTCCAGCTCCACCGGTGGGATCAGGATGGACTGGTGGCCGGAATAAACACTGCAGACAGCAGGGAGAACTCAGGAAGCAAACTTTGAGGAAGGATTCATACCTGGTTCCACACACGGCTGAGCGTCATCAGGACACTGAATTAAACCAGTTAGACTCAAAGCAACAGCAGTGAAACCCAGGAGCCAGAAGCATCAGTGAACTATGTCTGAATTATACCTCATCATCATCATCATCATCATCATCATCATCATCATCATCATCACAATATTGGCATGTGCAAATTCCTCCTGTGAAGAACTGTCTGAGCACTAAGCCCTGGCCACATGGCTAAAAAAATATATAAATTTTTTACCGCATCCATTTTTTTCCCTTAAATTTCATGATGAAAAATATTACTGATGACATAAATTATTTTCAAAAACAAGCCTTTATTTTTTAATAATTTTCTGGAAGGTGACAACAATTAAATAACTGAATCCAAGCTGTGAAACGTTCGTTTTAAGGCCTTTTCACTGTAATCGACAATAAATCCTCATAAACAGACAGTTTGATTAAGAAAAATCCCCCCAATCTGCTGAGGATGATGATGATGATGATGTTCTCCAGATTCTGATCCAGGTTTTATATTTATGGAATCAAACATTTAAACTGGAACCAGAATATGAGGTTTTGTTAAAATATTTAAAGCTGAGCAGGAATCAGTTTTTAACAATAAAATCTGAACATGGCAGCAATTTCTCTGCAAAATCTCTTCTTTTTTATAATAAACCATTTGACTAATTTTCATCAGCTCTCACTTGGCTTCCATTGTTTCATTTGCATATTTTAAAAGGACAATTTTCATGCAATATCCACAAATGTTGGTCCATTCTATTGTGTTTTATGCAACAGACCAATAGCAAGTGGAATAAAACTGTGAACTGGAATCAGATCACAACTTGTTTACAAAATAAACATCTTCAGATATTTAGCCCTCATTAGTCGGACATTACCAAATTAAACTCAGTCCAAGCATGTAGTAAATAGATACAATAAATACAATCACAGTTTATTGACATTACAGACTTAAAGTCAGTGGATGAACCGCTGAGAACGATCAGGTGTTCTGGCTCAAATCTAGTCTACTCTGCATAGCCAGAACCAGAACCATTAATAATGAGAGTTATGCTATGTTCAGACCGCACGCAGTAGAAGCAGCGATAACGCGCGTGTTGCTTCAGTTAAGATGCTTGTACAAGTTTAGTTCAGGGGCGCGGTTGAAGCACCTTATCTACTCATGACGCATTGAGCCATTTAGCCAAATCGCTTCAATGATCCCCACAATTCATGAAGCTTCACTTCAACATGTCACCACCTACTGGAGGAGTGCAGAACTACAGTTAGTAATATAATTGTATGTTTTTTCCCCCATTTAAAGGTACACTATGCAACCGGTGTTGATTTTCCAGCGAGGCTCCCCCCAGAGGGC